AGTCTTATTACAAAACCAGAAATTTGATATCTTCATTATTTCGTGAGATATCAAAATGGGTAAATCCTCACGGGACACCCTGTATATATAAATATATTTTTACGCAACAATTGAATGCAATATCAATATTACAGCGATAATATAACTGATTTATCCAAATTTATTTTAATGAAATTTAAAAATAACTTTTTGGTTAGAATAAGGAACACACTTGATACTATTGATCCATWCACATACAATAACGAAATTACACATCAAAATATTCACTAACATGATCAATACAATCATGAAATACAATTCAATTTTTTTTCTAAAAATATAGTATTTTATTGGATATAAGATATTGAGATTTGAGATATATATAGAGATGAGTAATTAACAAATTTTCAAATTAAAGATTGTAGAATGTAGATGGAAAGTTTTAAAGTGGCGAGTGTGATATAATTTTTTGCTGTTTGGCGATAAAACAATATGCACACATCGAAAGTTAGAAATAACTAAACTAATTATGTATATGGGCACTCTGGACTTACATCTTACGCTAAATTTTTGTCTTCTACTCATCTAAACTTTAAATACTTTTAAATTATAAATTATAATCAATCAACTACTCATTAAAAAATAAATGTATTTAAATTTAAATTCTCAGAAGAATATTCTGCTTCAAATATGAAACAAAAAATATATGCTATCGGTAAAATAACATAGTAATAGTTGGAAATATAAAATTGATAWTGATAAGAAATATTTTTCTTTCAAAAATGCTGTTTTACAACAWCTTCAATTCATTTAACAAAACGATTTCTAAGAACTTTAAAATACTTTTTGAAAAAGCTAGTGTTTGCATTTAAAAAAATGGCCTTGTATTATTCATATTCATATACATTAGTATATTAGGGTATTGCGTATTAATATACAATATACAATAAACTATGCGAGTGCAATCAATATCGCAACGAATCCATCTCGCAAATACATTATTCCTTATGAGCACGTAGTACTGGCATTTGACATCTTCTTCTTAAAAGCAGTTTGTGACTTAAAGCAAATTTACATTTAGCAAGTCACATTTAAAAGCTTTGAGAGTTGAAAAATTAGCGTGAATCGATCTCTTAAAAAACTCAATGTTAAGACCATTATGTGTGTTTGTAGGTGGGGTTTTTTTTACGATAATTCAGTTTTGAAGTGAGTTATGAGAATTTTTAATTCACGTTTTTTAATATACGCAAAACTCGCTAAAAAATTTAACTATCGTAAAAAACCCCCRCACAAAAACACAGATAAAGTTCTTACCATCATGGTTTTATAATATGCTGTCGATTCATTGACATTTTTAAATTAACGAAGCTAAACGTGATCTGCTGTGATGCGTACATTTTCTATGGTATGGACTTGTAAGACGGAGACAAAAATTGCCAGTGTTACGCCCCCTAAGTATTTTGAACGCTGTAACAGCTACGGTTATTGACTGTGATATAATTGATACGCGTGGTGTTAGACATTAAAAATTATGATTATTTACCAAATCATTTTTGTAATTAGTAATAATAATATGTTATTTGTTCAGTGCAAGTCCTAAACGGTACTTCGTAATTAATATTTCGTTTCCTAAGTACAACAGCCTTTAACAACCRCAACAAAAAACCACAACCCCTCCTCAATCAAGTTGTATTGCCATCCAGAATGTGACGCTCTTTATTATTTACCTACACGCATCTCCCTATAATTATATAACATGGAAATCGAGTGARCTACATATTATGACATATGTATGAAACATATATTACCTACATAGTATGTATAATGTACCTATGTCATTATATTATACATAGTTTAATAAATTATTAAAAATGAACCTAAACAAATCAATAATCATAATAATAATGATGGTCAAATTTAAAATATAAAAATCACTATTATTTTCACTTGAACATTAAAATATTATATTATGGACGTCACCTGTTGTCGTCTGTTATCAGCGTCCGCCAGTTTCTCCAACAGCATCTCGTGGGTCAGCGGCGGTGACTGTTGTCCTTCCATCATTCTCAGTCTCTTCGGTGGATGTTTTTTTACTACACTCTTTTCTTCTTCGGTCAACGGAACGCTAAACGCTATAGCTGTTTGTACACACACGTAAGTATAAGTAAATTAAATGATTGTACGTATCAGTAGGTTTTATGGAAACAGACAAGGCCTTAGAGACTTAGAGTCTATAAGGCTTAAACCACGTAATAACAACAATAATATCTAAGTGTACTAAGATATTTTACGAACTGTTTTCATCCATTAAAATATAATTTACAGGTAATTGTTCACGTGAAAAGTGTCTATTAAATAGTAGTTTTGTGCGTATTTAAAGCTCAGCAGAGAAGTCGATATAAATAAATAAGCATACTGCAGCTAGAGAGTGACATTTTCAAGAGGATGTCGGTACGACARTACACTATGTGTTTCCTCTTACTGATCAACGCGCAAATGGCAAATTTGTATTCAAGAAAACCAACCTTTTGTAAACTTGTAGTTTACCACTAATTATACTTGAGTGAATTGACCATCATATATTGAAAATTTAAAGCAAGATTGGCGAGAATATTACTAACGATTGGTAAACTTACAGACTTTTATTAATACTATAATTTAAAAGTAAATTATGATCATTTTAAATCTTTTATATTTTATAGTATATTACACGGTTGTTATAACTCACCTTCAAAATTAATATAAAAATAGTGGCGCTGAAATTCTCTTGACAGAGAAGTGAAATAAATTTGAGACAATAGCTCGTATACATCATAAAGGAGCTGCAGGGCAGTTGTGAGTTGTGAGAAATATTCATGGTATAATCGTGCGATGAATATTCTTGACTAATCGTGATATGTGAAATACGACTAATTCCAATACCAAAGTGACAAAGATCTATACTATTTCAGACGACGGCGAAGATTTATTACATTAACGTAGTGATATCAAATACGATAATATGAAGAAAAAAATGTTCGGTATGATGTCTTTCTACATACGCAATAAATAATGCTATATAATGTCATTATTTTGACGAATATAAAACGTGATTCTAACGTGATGGTATTTCCAATTTCATTTTGCTGAATTCCTCGGTCGGCATGGCCGGCATCGGCATCGTCGAACCACCGCACCCCATTTCATATAGGTTTATTCGTTTTGCTTATCGAGAAAAACTGTGTTGAAAAAAAAAATTGAACTGTTACGGTATCCGTGACGAGRAATTGTTCTGACGACAGGCCCCGTACAACACTTTTATAAGTAGTGAGCGACCGGGGCGGAAAACAAACACCGCACACTTTTAGCGCCGACGACGGTTCGTGAATGTATAAAATATAATCGAGTTCGGTGCTTTTCGCGCGTTGTACTAACCACCGGCTGGCTCGAGCGATCGAATATAAAGCCCGCGAGCACGTGGTGTCGGGAAGGGAAGTRTCGGGACAGACGCGCGGCCGCCCGTTCGCTTCGCCCAAAGGTTACGGCCGAAAACCGCGCAAACGCCCTCCACGGCGGTCATTCTTTTCCCATCATTGTCTGTTTCATTTTCTATACACTGCAACTAACGATAGAACGTACATGTCGACGACCCCCGACAGATGGACGCGAGTGAATGCAGCGCGAGTGCAACCGCCGCGGTCTAAAGGTAAATGGCTGCGCATCATATATGAGTTTAAACGAAAAACTTTTTAAAAAGGATTGACACGCGGTTACGTGCATGCTAATTGTTGTGAGTTCTTGTTTTAACTTCCTCCTCCTCATCGGAATAAAAAATAAAAAAATTCACGATTAAGAATGCATTAAGAGAACGTGATACCCGCATGTGTTGTCTCCAATTCTCCATCTTATAAGTGCGTAACATACCAAATTTTACGCTCAGCAGAACACGGGTAGCTCTTTTAGTGTTTAAGCTTTAGAATGAATTGAATTCTAATACAATTTAAAGGTAAGATTATTTAGTTTGTTTAGTTATGAGTATTTTAAGATGTTAAACTATTTACAATTTTAAAATACTCATAACTCGCTTTAAAATTAAAATAGAATAAAAAGCCTATGAGGTTGTCTAGGTAATAATAATCTTACCTTTGAATTTTATTAGAGGTCTGCAATTCATTCTAAATTATAAACTAATAGAGTTACACGTGTTCTGCTGAGCGTAAAACTTGCTATGTTACGCACTTGTAAGACGAAGACAATACACATGCGGGTATCAAGAGGCCTCTTAAATATCTGTTTTAAGTTCAACGAGCAAAGTCGTATCAAATTATTGAGAATCCTGCAGAAATATCTGTTATTAAAAACAAATTTACAAATATCTAAGAGTTACAAATTAAATTTGAGCAAGCATCCCCCCTACACTCCCCACACACACACCAAGTAAAAATTCGTATATCCGCCAAATAAAAAAGTTAGTTGATATTCGTCGTTGTAAAGTGTCGTGTACCGAATAAAATCATAATGGACAAGCGTTATCTAATAATTTACTTTACAGAATATGGAGTCGTGGAGATAAGTTTCGGTTCCATTTTCAATCAAACTATATATCATACTAAACAATAACACAAAATTTAAAGTTATCTGTAATATACAATTGAATACTGAGTGGGAAGTACACGATAATGTGTTGATTTTATTGTATGAAGTTTGTTTGAGGGTGGTTCCTGGAAGCAAAATGGATTTAATCTGTACTTTTGGGAGGTTATAGGTAAATATTGGTTTTTTTTTTAATGAGACGGGAGCCGCATACGACTACGATGACGCGAGCCACAAGTTGACCACACCTGCAGGCTGCAATTATATATATATATATATATATATACCGGTTGATTCTTTTATCATTGAACACTCATTATTTCAAAAAATTACTAATGTTTTTGAAAATATTTTTTACATAGTTTCAAGTTGTTCAAAAACCAACGTTTTTATTAAAAATATGTATTTAAAAATATTTTTTATCCTTATCATTTTTTAAGTTTTTTTACTTTTTTTGGCAGAGGGGTATGGTACGGGGTTACCCCGCAAAATGTTTGTCCACTACTCCGTTTGTCTAAACTTTAAATACTTACAATTCATAAACTACTCGCCTTAAATTCGATTTTTATGAATCAAAATACTTAGAAAAATATTCTGCTTTGGAATATGAAATTATAACTCTATGTTGTAATTCAAAAAAGTAAAAACTTAAATAATTATGAGGATAAAAAATATTTAAAAAAATATTTTTTTAATAAAAACGTTGGTTTTTTAACAACTTGAAACTATGTAAAATAATATTTTCAAAAACATTAATAATTTTTGTAATAATGAGTGTTCAATGATAAAAGAATCACCCGGTATACACGCATATATCGATGACATTGTTTATATTCTGTGTTATATGATATAAGGTTTTTGTAGATTATTAATCTATYGCGATTGATGAGTTATGTATTAGAAGCCATTAAATCGAATCGCTTCGTATACTTATTATTGTTTAACGAGGAACGCTGACGGATGGTGACGAACCCTCCGGGCTCCCTGGACCCTCCACTGCGGTCCGGAGACGTTAACGCCGCCGAGGTCCGTGATGGTGTCTTGCGGGTTTTTTCGGGTTTTTTCGGCGTACACAGAGTGTGCCTCGCACGTACATAATAATATACGACCATCGTCATTATATTTTACAAGTACACGACAGCACAGTGTCATGACTTGGGGCCGGATCTCGTGTGGTCCGTATACGACAATGTCACAAATACATATAAACATGCGTAATACTATGTACAGGTGCACGCGGTCGGACAGCCGAAGTCTCCTTCTCACGACTTGCATCGCAGCCCGCGYCGGCATTACTTATATATTATTATTATTATATTTTATATATTTTATGTTAAAACGAAATCCTTTTTCCGCTATTAATCTCTCGCTTTCTTCTCGCTCGTGACGTAGRTATGCACACGCACACGACTCGAGCCGTCCGTGTCTTGCATATGCTACTTGTAGTGATTATATACATATACAATACATATATAATGTGCAATGTATATATTATATGATAACTGCAGTATATTTCGTAAAACGCGTATATGTATGTAAAACGGCACTTTTGACACGGCGACGTTTTTGTTCGCACCGCCATATATATATATACATATTAGGTACTAGCTCACATATTGTTACATAATAGACACACACACACACATATATATAACAATATAACTTCATCAAATCATCGTATAGTTTTCTCAGGTTCTTGGCTAATCGTTTTGTACATAATATATATAATTCGTACACTGCAATATGATATCCAATAATAACCGTAGTGGAACCTTTGGAAGATACCTATATTGTAAATCAAAAAACAATTTTTTTTTTATATTACACATATATACAGTGACGTATTTACGGGGAGTTCCTGCAGGTTTGACTTCCGCTCCACAYGAGAAAAAAAAGAGTTACTCACATGTCAAATCAATATTAATTATTACCTACGGGTTTTCTGATGATTAAACGATATAGATAGTTGCGCTTTAAAAATGTTAAACTCCCCCCTCCCCAAGACATTTTTGAAAATACACTACTGCATATATATATATATATATATATATTATGCTGGACCCACACATATTACAATGATTTACCAATATACGCGACTTCCACACCACAGCTGCGATTGGACTACTCAAATTGATTTTTAATAAACAC